ATAATGTGTCATCTGCAAACTGCAAATGGGAGATGCTTATATCTCCTCTTCCAATTGGGACCCCTTCAAAAAATTCTTTCTCAACTGCCGATGAAATGATACCGTTGAGCCCTTCTGCAACAATAAGGAAGAGGAAAGGAGCTAGGGGGTCCCCTTGTCTTAATCCCCTGCTCATTGTAAACTCTTTTGTTGGGCTACCATTAAGCAAAACCGATACCGAGTTTGTTTGCAGACATTCTCGGATCCATCTCCTCCAAACCAAGCCAAAATTCATCCTTTCCAACATGTAATCCAGAAACTCCCAGCTGACATTGTCATAAGCCTTCTCGAAGTCGGCCTTGAAGAGAAAACAACTCAATTTTTTCTTTTTAATTTCATCTATCGTCTCATTTGCAATAACTACGCCATCAACCAGTTGTCTTCCTGCTATGAATGCTGATTGTTGTTCACCTATGAGCCCGTCCAGCACTTTACTCAATCTGTTGGCAAGGATTTTTGCAAGGATTTTGTACATGCACCCTATCAGGGAAATGGGCCTGTACTCTTCAAGTCTTTGTGGGTTCTCTTTTTTGGGTAACAAAACCAAGAAAGAGGAATTGGATCCCCTCACCAGCTTACTATTGATGTGAAAGTCCGCTAGAAACTTCATTATATCCTTTTTTTACCACTTCCCATTCTGCTTTCAAGAAACCAAAGCTCAAACCATCCGGACCTGGGGCTTTATCACTATCACAGTTCCAAACAGCTGCTTTGACCTTTGCTTCAAGGAACGGTTCTGTTAAGAGACCCTTTTCTGTTTCAGAAATTTTATTGAAGTGGACACCCTCAAGAATTGGCCGTTTCCAGTCCTCCGCTGTAAATAAATTCTTGAAATATTCAGTCACTCCTTGTTTCAGCTCTTCAACTTCATGCAGGGTCTTCCCGTTGACCATTAAAGAATTAATCTCATTCCTTCTCCATCTACTTTTGATGCATCGGTGGAAGAAGCTTGTATTTGCATCCCCTTCTTTCATCCACATCATCCTTGATTTTTGTCTTGCCATTTCTTCTTTTTTTTGAATGTTTTCCCATAGATTTAGCAATAGATCTCTCTTAAGAGAGCTTTCCTCCTCAGTGAGCTGCTGTAGTTCCCCTTTACAATCAAGTTTGGCTATATTATCTTTTGCTTCCTCAATTTTCTTGTCCACCTCCTGCACATGGCTCCTTGTCCATTCCTTCATACTGTTTTTCAATAATTTCAGCTTCTCTTTCAGCACATAACCCCCCCAGCCTTGGATGTTAAAACTGTTCCACTGTTTCTCTGTCATTTCTCTGAAGACATGGTCTTGTAGCCACACATTGAAAAATTTAAAGGGTTTTGGGCCCCAATTGCGTGTTTCATCCTTTACTAGAATTGGACAATGATCTAACAGTGTTCTAGGTAACCCCCATTGCTTCAGCTCTGTCCAGTTAAGCAACCATTCCTCCGAGAATAAGAATCTGTCCAAGCGGCTCATGCAATTACCATTTGGTTGATACCAAGTGAATTTTCTCCCTATCAGTGGAAGGTCCACCAACCCACACATCTCAATAAACTCATTAAACTCCCTAAGCTCCCTCCTTACACTGATACCTCCTTTCCTTTCTTGAAGATTTCTAATGACATTAAAATCTCCAGCTATACACCAATTTCCTTTGTTGGAACAAATGAGGTTTGATAAATTCTCCCATAAAATTCTTTTATTTACCAGATCACATGAGGAATAAACATTAACCAAATAGCAAGGAATGTTTTCTTCTCCCCAAAACCCCACAACTCCCAGATACCCTGCACCTTCTAAAATGCTAATCTTCTTGAAAACAGTGGAATTCCATATAGTTAAAATTCCTCCTGATGCTCCATTTGCGGGTTGTGCAACCCACTCAAAATTATCTGAGTCCCAAATCATTCTACAGAGCCTTTTATCTACACTCTCCATTTTAGTTTCTTGAATAAACAAAATATCAACTTTCTGTTTAGCTACTAATTCCCGAATCTCCCTTTTCTTGCCTATCCCCCCTAATCCTCTAATATTAATTGACAATAAAATCATGGAAAATGGGGCATCACCTGGTCTCCTTTTCGGTTCTTTTTTTCTTCCTCCTGTCTCCATCTTGCTTTGTCACGGCTTTCCATGTCTACCAATTTCTGCAGCACTGAAATTTCCTCTGTTTGTGCACTCACTCCGAGTTCTTTCACCCATGACCACAGAGCTTCCATGTTCCTTTTTCTACTTCTCATTTCAATGCTTTTATTACAATTCTGGATGTTGCTGTCGTTGATTGAATTATCTGCAATTGATTTCTCCGGAGCTTTCTCAAACAGGATCTTCTTCTTTGTCTCAACGGCTGATTTTTTCTGCCCTTTGTTTTTCTGTTGAATCAAGAAGCCATCTAATCCCCCAGATTTTCTGTACACTGATGCACAGGACTTTGCTCTTCTCTTTTTCTTTCTTTTCCCGCAACCATCGTTTCTGTTCATCCATCTTGCTTCTGTGCCTGAGTCACTGCCGAGGTCATCCCAGAAAGAAATTTCTGATTTCCTATCCCGTGCTTTGGGTCTGTTGCTTTTATTCTCCTGATGCTTCTTTGGGCCTATATTTATTGATTCTTATATATCATCCAGTTGGTCATTTTTCGGCCCAAGCTCCTCCGGAAGGCCCATTCCTTTAGTTGGCAGCCCATCATTTAATCCTTTATCAAATCTTCCTTCCTGTCCGCCTCTTTTGCAGTCTTCTGCTAATAAATCTTTTCTTCTTTGATAAGTCTTGTCATAGCTGCCCATTTTTGCATTTGTAATCAATTGGCTGTCAATTTGGAAGTTTCCTGTATCAACTTTATTATTCACCAAATTTGGATCCGTCCGAATCCTTCTTGTTTCTCCCACTTGTTGAAAGTTTGAATTTGAATCAAGGAGCGTCCTTCTGTAATCACCCATACCCTCTGTTTCCTGGACTATCTCGGTTCCAGTGCTTGCTTCCTCGTCCTCGTTCCTTTTGCTACAACCTGCCTCATCGATGTGCTTAGCCACCTCAGCTTTTGGACTTGCCATGTTGTTCTCATTTTCATCCCCCATGTTCGGTGAAGCCACCTCATCCCTTTGAGTTGCCACCTCATGCTTATTACCATCCCCCATGTTCGGTGATGCCACGTCATCCCCCACCTCAGCCCTTAGAATTGCCACATCATCGTCTTCAATCCCCTGTGACTGTATCACAATCTGTTCAAAAATATTCTCATCGGAATCGGAATGTACCTCATTCTGGTTATCTGTAGAACTGCTTTCTTCTTCCTCTTCACTGGGTGTATGAAAAGTCCTGTCAGACCTCATGGTGAAGAGATTGTTTGTTGATTCCTCTTCTGTGAACATGAGTGTGAAGAATTCTCCATTGATCTTCACTGTGATAGACTTTGAGATAGATTCCATGGATGGTGTGGATATAAGGAACCTTGCAATGTCCAATCTCTCCTTGCTTATCGTGCTCTCATCTATCATTACAACATTTCCCTATAATCTTCCAAAGGTTTGAAAGGTCTCCGGCTTCCAAGCATGCGCTGGGAGCCCCTGACATCGGATCCAAGCAAATCTCTCCGCTACGACCACTGTGGGTGTCCATGGCTTCACGTCTGCAAACCACTTTCCCAGCCAATCTTTACCAGTATCAACAAGCTCCTTCAGATCCTCATGTTCCTTGGCTTCTAATAACACTAATCTACCTCCCATTGGTCTAATGCTAGTAAAGAAAATTCCTTCCATGTAGAATTTTTGTTGCAGATTAGATATGGAGTTCACCGAGTGCACTGTACCCACAAAGCATTTTTCTAGCCATGCATATTCCTTCAAATCGACGTTCAGCTCCATACTTGACCAGTGCTGGTGTTGGTGTTTCGGTTTCCATTCCCTTTGTTGAGCTCCATAGACGCTAGCGCCATTGTTTCCATGCCGTTGCTCTGTTCCTTCTTTTCTTCTTTCTTGATTGGACCTTTCTTCCATCCTGCTATTTGCTGCTTTAACTACCTCCGCATATGATGGTCTTCTACCATTACCATAAGGGCTTTGTTGTCTCCAGTCCCAAGCCTTGGATCGGTTGTTAGAAATCAGTGTTTTTTGACGATCCCACTTGGTATACCTTGGTTTGTTTGCTTGTAAGATCCGACTCCCTATTCTTACTTCATTCAATCTTCTTTCTAAAGCAGCTTCATTCTTCACATCCAGGAATCGAACAAACCCAAATCTTCTACCCAACCTATCCCTCTTCGTCGGGCAATCAATCTCCAGCACCCTTCCAAGGCCTATTCTGTTAAAAGTATGCCACATCTGCTCAAACGACCATTCCTCTGGAAAGTT